AAGGGTACCTCCCTCGGAGAAACCGCTACGCAGCGCCTACTCAGTGTCGCGGAAATCAGCCCTGCACTAGTACCAGTCCTACTCGTTTTTTAGGGATTTATCGTGCCAACTGCCTTTAAAACTACAATTCTAAAGCCCAGATTGTCCAGCGTAAAGTTCTTTACCTGGGCGGCCTCGTCCATGATCAACGAATTCTCTTGAAGCGATGAGATCAACAATGGAGTTAGCTGAAATTATGAAGTGGAAGTGACCCTGAATCTTTTCGAATGTCAAAAAAAGTCTCGTAATGGCATATGACACGACAATCAGTAAAATTCAACTAGAAGAGCTTTAAGAAAACTTGGAAGGTCAAGGTGAAGAAATATAAGAAGTTTTGAAGGAAATTTGATAAAATCCTCGACCAACATTAACTATGCTGTTGTTAGTGATGGGTATATTTCGGCCACCAGTTTCTCTCTGATGAAATGTCAGATCACCACTAGGAAGAGCTGTTCCGTCTCCCAAGGTGAATACGTTCACCTGAAAATATTTTTGGATTAAATTCTCACTGGAGCCTTTTTGAACAATTCTTGAAATCTACTTTGCTTACCTGCATTTCCTTCGAAAGAGGCTTTGAATCTGTATTGGTATGTACCGACAACTGTGTAGAGGTGAAAAGGTAAAGAGTTATGGGAGAGAGGATAGAGATTTCGTAGGCCTGGAAAATGAACCTTTCAGAAGAAGAAGAAGATAAAACTTCACAATTTTCCAGCGTTTAGAAGCAAATGAATAGCTACTTAGTTCTTTAATTTCGAAGAAATCCTCTCCAAATCGAAGCCTATGTTACGCTTCACAATGACGGAGCCTACCTGCATTTTTTTTACCACTTTCCAAAATTGTTCACTGCTTTGAGTCATTACCGGAATTATCGTATGGGCGGAGTTACTTGGACAAGTGCGACAAAGAGCGCCCACCCCCCCCACCCCCTCCCCTAAAATGCCCACTCAGGAAAGCGCAGTTGTTTAAGCGACTCCGCCCACAAAATAACTATGAATCGCGCCTTCAAGATGAGAAACAGCCATGATAATGATGGCTGCTGGAAGCAGGGAAGCCATACGTTGGGGAACCCCAGCGGGGGAATCGTATTTGCTCCGCGAGAATTTTGTTCTTGTATGGTTGACGTATGGTCTTTCCTGTTTGAAGTGCGCATACCCCCCCCCTTCTTGAAACCTCACCGCTCGACAGCCAGCTTCTGTTTCGAGAAACTCAAGACACGGAGAGAGTTTCTCGGGGAAGGCAGGAAGTTGGGAAAATTAGAACATCGTAGATAGGAGAATGGGGAAGGAGGAGTCGTACCAAAGGAGTATTCCAAAGAAGGGAGATTTCGCGAGAAGTCTTGCAAAAATATTCCCAATGGACGTGCTCTGTCGACTCCAAGAGAATAAAGGCAAAAGTGTGAGGGATAAAAATGAATGACTTGCCTTGTGAATAACATCCAGGGATAAACTTTGATTTATAGCCCTTTTATTACTGGTCACCACCGTCATTGAAGAAGTAAATTGGTTGAGGAAGTCTTCCCACCAGAAAGTGCTCGAAATAATCCTCACATCTGCAGAAGAGAATTATCAGAACAGATGAATCCCATAAACACTTTTTGGAAAAATAGTACTTCTAATTTGTAATCGCCGTTTTACGCAGAGGGTGCTGTAGTAATTGCCGTTTACAACGCGTATAATCCGAGGATCAATTCTCAGATCAGTCTTGTCCACACCAACCTAGCCTTTCATTCCTCCAAGGATCATCCATTAGTAACAGCCCTGTCTGGCAGGATAAAAACACTGTCTTATACGAACCGCGGGTCTGGCATACGACTATACTATAACTCACGGTCAGGAGTCATGTACAGGGTTGTTCGCTATAGAATCACAGACAGAAGAGCGGGCAGAGACGTCGTCAGCAGGTCAACAAGCGGTATTGGCACCAAAGAGTTCAAAGGCAACCATAATGGCTGTCCTAGCCCGGCGATCTTCTATAGAAACACTGCTGTAGTAGCGCTCGCAAAAGCATAAAGCGTAAAGCACTCGTCATCCGGGCAGTTGATTAGGGCGGTCGTCAAGGGGCCGCAGACGCGGCTGCAGCAGCGATCGCGTACGTAGGGGCTGTGTGCAAAGATCTGCCGTTTGCAGCCTGGTTTAGTCGTTTTCCCCTACTTTTCACTGTTTTTGTGTTTTTTTCAAGTCAACTGTTCTTTCCTTCACAGGATATAATTTTTATTGGGTTTTTTTCCAATTTTTGCGAAACAACTAGAAAGATTAAACAAACATGGTAAACAGAAGGCCTAAGTAATTCGCGAAAACATTCCATTACACAACAAAAAAATTCACGTCCGATATACTTCATATAGGCAATAAAGCAAATGACCTTGAAAAAAAACAGCCAAAAACAGTGAAAACTAGGGAGAAAATTGCTAAATTAGGGTGGAAACAGCTGATCGCAGCGATCGTGACGCGCTGCAGCCGCGTCGCGTCACTTGGGCCGGATAATCTGCCCGGATGACGACTTTACGTATATAGAAGCGCTGTTTTTTCGGTTGGATACTGTAAGGCAGCGTTCAGACTTCGCGACGGCAGCGCTTCGGTCGCGCGTTCGACGCGATCGATGCGCATGCTTTCGACTGCATTGATCGCGTCGAACGCGCGACCGAGCGCTGCCGTCGCGGAAGTCTGAACGCTGCCTAACACGCCGCTGCAACCCTGTTCTAGTGGGCGACACTGGTTGAGATGTAGTACTCCTTAGAAACTGTATCTGGGTAGAACTGAATGGCTTTTCGACAAATGCTAGCTTCTCGCCGGTCGCAAAGGGAATACTACACAATCGTGTGCGTAAAAAACATGTATTCAACGGGTTTTGTAAACGGTAATACCGGAACCTGAAGGCAGTGGGAACGATTGCTGGGATCGGGCGGTTGTGAGAGGCTGCAAGAGGCTTTTGGCCACACCTCCGTAACGCGTTCGAAGTTTGGCTAAATGCCATCTTTAGCCCTTCCGCCAATGAGGCTGGCACCAACCGCCAGCCTCCAGCAATCGTGCCCACCGCCTTTGAAGACAGAATTGTGCAGTCACGTCCGAGGACGGTCCTTGCCACATTCGAGGCGAATGGGTCCACAGCTGCAGTGACAAGTCATTTCCTTCGCTCGAATGTGCATGGAAACAGGCTGTAGGGTACCCGAGTGCCACCTCCAAACTCCGCGTGCGCTATCCTGCTTCGATGTCAAGGGCCCGCAGCGAAATGCATACTCAGCTGTAGAGATTAATTAGGGTCAGAGGGCGTAGTAAGTAGCGCGTTTGGCTATGGCTTTTCACCATGCGGCAGCGCGGGCACCATTACCTCTAGCCCTGTTCCCTTGCACTTTTGACCGGAGAAACTGTCACTCTATGGCAGCTGCGGACACAGTCTCCCCAGCCACGACGAGGACCGCGATCCTCAGAGGTGAGTGCACAATTTTGTCTTCAATGGTAAGCGAACAATCTGAACCCACTTCTGTCATCATACTCAATCAAAGAGTACTGCCTCACTGAAGGATAATAACGTCTTTCCAACTGGTTGATCATTGAGCTGACTGCCGTGGCAAGATTCGAAGCCGCTGAGCTCATCGCAGCGCTGTTCTCCACAGCAAAGATTACCTGAATGTCGAAGCTTTTATGTCACTTTACCATTCAAACTACTGATTCGATTTCTTGGCCTGCATTTCTCTTTGCGAAATTTCCCTCGTAGTAGAACGGATAGAAAATATGTCATATAACGTGATGGCCTACTGGACGCAAGACCACCCTTCTCCAAATTATGGCACACTCTTCCCCCTCCCACTATAATCAACCTTCAAAGTCGCACTAAGCCTCCGCAAGGGGATCTTGCCAGATATCCGGGAAGTGATGACAAAACCGGTACGCGCTCAGGATTAAAGCGATTGTGGGGTAAAATAGCTATTCGAATTAACCACCACGTTAAAGAGATGAGTGCCACGTGAACAACAAGCGATGGTCGCGACAAAAATGCCGGTGACTTACGAGCCCTACTCCGAAAGCATGGTTGCTAGTATGACCCCTTTCACCTCTGCCACTTTCCGCGCCCTCGTGTAGTCTTCCTCGCTGCGGATGATGGGGCGTCGCCAATGAGGCTGGATTTGGGGCACCGTCAGGCCCGTTCTCCGAGTTCATGGTGAAACGCGATAAGCGACAGCACTGGTCGAAGCCACTGATACGATTGTTATGGTAATCTTGTTGCTTGCCAAAAGAAAAAAGGAAAGACGGGCTGGTGCCGCGCCAAATCCATCCCAGTTGACACGCCCCTTCATCCGCAGAGAAGAATTCTATACTGCGAGTGACACTGTCAGAGCATTCCCGTGCGGCGGGGAAACACGACAATCGTCTGAAGCGCTAATGGGATGGAGGTGTTTCAATTCTACAACCAATAGAGCGATGGGTCCGGATAATGTCCTTACTCGGCCGAGAACGCGTGCCTTCACAAACACAACGGGACAGTGATTTTCAAGCGTCTCGGGCAGCGTCCCTGCTTTAGTTTCGCGCTTTCAAAGCGCAGCGTTTCGAATGCGATGTGCTCGCTGCTATTCACCCCTCCACGGTTTGTCCTAGTGTGGAGAGGATTATGTTTCAAGGTCATAAAGAATGCAGAAGTAACCTTTTTTGAACCGCCCGCTACTAATTTGGCTATGCTGCCCCATCGATTAGTCTAACCATAAGATCAACGAAAAAAGTTTGAGTACGCGATAACCTGTCTGAAGTCGTGCTGCCGTACGGATTGCGTAGGAACGTTCCAATTCTTTTCAAAGCACTGCATACCTAAAAATAGCAAATTTTTATAAGATGAAGCGTAGGCATAAAGCGCACACCGGTAGCCTAGTAGCACGAGACACTGCTGCACTCTTTCGGCACCCACAGAATTCTGTACAATACAGAAAGTGGATCATTCTATAGCCCGAGCCAGAGGCCAGAATCACACAATGATTACATGGATGAAGTCACATAAATCATTAAACCTTTCTCATTGGCGCTATTGCCCTTTTTATCCCAAAAATGAAGGCCTACAGGACTCGTTCAGGTGACGTCATTCATAAGATCAGCGCGGAATGAGCCTTGCTTAAAGACACATGGTACGCTCAAAACATTGAGGGTGTATGAGACTAACAGCCCCCCAGCTGTCGATGTGTCGTGGTCCCCCCGCTCAAACATGCCCAGGAATGGAGATACAGGACCGTGGGAAAGGCTTATTCCTTGCTACTCCGCCCAAAATTCACCGCGCGCGCGGACGAAATGCAACTCCGCGCCGCGTGCGTGAATTGGCCGTACGAAGTCAGTAGCAAGGAATAAGCCTTTCCCACGGTCCTGTATCTCCATTCCTGGGCATGTTTGAGCGGGGGGACCACGACACATCGACAGCTGGGGGGCTGTTAGTCTCATACACCCTCAATGTGTTAGCGTACATGTGTCTTTAAGTGATTTTCCAGAGATTGAAAGTAGCGCGCGCAAAACAACAGGTCCTGAGTCCTGTTGTTTGAGCCGGCTACTGTTGCCGGCCTGGCCATTACTATAGTTCAAAATATGGTTGGAACACGTGGTCTAATTCAAAAGATGGAAGCAAAGCGGAAAACTTACTGTACTCTACTTACCATTGGAATGGGAAGCAGTTGCAACTTGAACAGCTCGATTATTCAGCAAGGAGTCAGGCGGCACTATAAACAATAGAATATGTTAATATGCTTGTAGCCCTAAGCATATCTGAACTAAGTGCGAAGCGTGCACATACACTGCATATCTCAGCGATGGAGTGGGCGTGGTCACATACTATACTTGAGCATGGTGAAGGATGTGTTTTTCTTGGGATAATTCCGTTTTTGATACAAGTGCTGTCTAAGACCATCTTTACGAACAAGATCATGACGTTGCCAACTATGAAACTGGGGTACCCCCCCCACCACAGTCGAGCGAAGCAAGCGTCACATTAAATGGATACGCAGCCACGGTTTTCTTCATTCTAGGATATGGAGTGCATAGCGTCCTATGATTGCCCCATGAGGGGGCTCCCGCCCTGCTTCTGACTGTTAGACAAATTTGAAACCACAATCCATGCTAACTGCGTGGGCGGAGTCAGGCGCATCGGTGCACCTCCCTCATTGGCGCATCCTTCCCTTTACAGAAGTGACCGCAGACCAGGGATGCAGGCCCGATAATATGCCTCACTCCGTCCACACGATCAAGCGTAGAACCGTGTCTTTGATAAATCTGTCAACGGAAATAAGATCAATTTCCCACTGGACGGAGGCTTCTAATTCAAAATAACCTTCCCCTCGTACAGGGTGTGCTGTTTGACCCGTAAGTCTTGGATATCCCCTTACAGGGTACAGCACAGATGTGCGAAACCCATCAGGAGGATCGAACCTGGCAGCTGGGGAGGGGAAGGGGTCGTGAACTTGGTCGTGAGCACATACAGACAAAAGTGTCGATCGTTAAGTTTGAGTAGACGGGACAAAGTAGCAAAGGACCCGGATGCTAAGGAAGACCAGAATATGAAAGAATTACTCGGCAAATTAGCGTGAAGCTCATAAGTACGTAGAGAACTAAAATAATAAATCTCAAACATATTCGTGCGCACTTTTCCAAACCCTAAACAAACATTTGCTTGCATGGACAAAAATCACCTACAATCAGAAGTTACACCTTTGCACCACTTCTGCGTAGAAGCGTAATGCACGGCGCAGAATCGGGACAAATAGATCGATGGTAAACAAATTTGCTTTGATACATTTCAAGGGGAATAAGTGTTCTCTGAAGCCATATTGAAGTTCGCAAATGAGTGTCTTCTACTAATGGGCAGAGATAGGGGTTGAGCTTATTGCGTGGCTCAGAGTGACCTCCCAGTGGCTTCTGACCCATACAAATCCTCTGAACTAGCGGGCTCTTCGAAAAAAGGTAAGCGTCATTGAAATGAAAAGATTAGATATTGGTCGGTCCGGTTTTGTTTTGCAAGAAGGTTGGACTCTCGCTGAAAGTGATATGTTAATGTTCTCGCGTTGTGGTTCTAAAGCAGGAATAACCCCGGCCTTGCAACTTACCACGGAGCTGCGTCTGCCACGCCTTCGAAATACTCCAGCAATGGGGAGGACTTCAGATTGCGCTACGGTAGTAAAGAGTCATTTTATGTCATTGATGAGTCACTGACTGTCAAATCATGCCCTTCATTCTCGAAAGCCCCATCACTCAATAAAAGCTTATGACTCCCCTAGAAATAGCCCCCGCGGATTTCCCGATGCTATGGCGAACAGGTATATCTGCCGTCTGCTCAGATTATATTCTATGGGTTGGAATAGCGCGGCGCGCCATGGAAGCATAATATGGCCGCGAGCGCTTGCGAGTCGTCACATATCTGATCCTTCTCGTCAGAGCAAACAAATGTATCCGGAGAAGGGTAGGGTAGTACCAGGTTCCTTTTTCTCCGGGCTGGGGGCGGGCGGGGGGTCGTACGACACCGTCAGTTCACACATCACGATATGTACCCTGCCCCCTTATCAAGCAAAGCATAGGAGTTACAGAAATGGTGCAGTAACTAAAGAGTCTGCCACCATATTTCATAATATGGAGGATGATCTTGTCATTACTCAATCACATGGCCATCAAGGTTCGTATCCTAATCCTTCTCTTCGCATTGTTATGGCCACACAGATACACCCTTTTGCTACACCTCTAGTTCGCTCGGACGACTGGGCGTTTCAGGCGTGTCGCATTGAGTTGTGCCCAAACCCAGGCAGATGCCGTTCTCTGCCTTCTTGTTGAAGCGCGCATGCGAAAAAAGTGGCAGAAACGTGTAATACTAACGATATGATACAGTCATATCACTTACTCGCTTTAACAAGTGGTGGGGAACGGGTTTGGCACCGCGCCAAACTCATCCCGCCTGACACGCCCAACCGTCCATAGCAGCGAACTATGCTATATGGAAAATTGTATTGGAAAATACCGCAGATAATGGCGCACATCGATGACAAGCTGAGCCTTCTTGTTACTCTGCTCTCATTCTGGGATCAGGATACAGCATCGTGATGTGTGGAATGGTGGTGTCAGTCCGACCCCACCCCCAAGAAGAGTCTCGATACGACCCCCTCCCTCCCCCAACCACCTACCTACCACTTTCCTGCAAGTTCCCAGCTTGCTGCCTGTTTTTCTGAAACTTCCCACATTTTCCGGTTCTTCACCCAGTAATTTTCCGTCGGGCGGAGGAGGGGGGAGTACATAGCCATTATGAAACGGGAAAAACCGCGAAAAGTCAACAACCGGGAAAAATTCTTCCCAACGCGGCAAATTTCTCTCAAAGGCACATACGACCCCCTCTCTCCCAACAACGACCAAATACGACCCCCCCCCTCTCCCCCGCGGCTAAGTATCACCCCATGTGGTTTCACACAATGATGCTGTACCATGTCTGGGACGACTCCCATAGCAGGTTTCCTTCAGAAAAGGAAAGTATTGAAATAAACTAACCAATAAGCGAGCAGTATCCCGGCAGTACACGGGTTGCGCTTTTATTAGAAGGGTTATCGAATAATAAAACCCGTAGTCTGAAACAAATGACCATGATTATGTATTGCCAAGCCATTGAAAGAGTTGTAAGTGAAGCCTTCACAAACACGTAAGGTCCTGGAGTGCAGTCATTGTGGTCGGCGAAAATCACTGAATATGTGCTGTCGTTTCTACGTTTGCCATAATACAGTGTTCCAAGTTGCGTTTCATCAGTCGAATTCACAGATTGGGCAAAGACCGCTACTGAGTCAGGAAAATCGATTGGAAGAGCGGTGATGGACTGTGGAATACCTGGAAAGCAAAGGTTATCTCCATAAAAAAAGCAAAAGGAACGTGCGTTTTCACACACTTTCACACTTTCTACCGCTTGCAATGGTAGGCATAGGAAGATAAATTTTCAATTATTTGGCTTATTAAGGCGCATTCTGAGCATCACAGCCGCAGAGTGCAGTCTTTTCGGTACGGATTCTGGAGCGGTCAGGAGGCGGAATTTGGCGCAGCGCCAACTGCTCTCCACCAACTGGCGAAGTGTGAGCGTCAACAACATTGAAAAAAGTGCTGGCGCCGCGCGCGCCAAACTCAGCCTCGAGACATCCTAACATCCCAGGGAACAAGACTGTAGATATCTGTACCTGTAGTCCTCTGTATGGGTGACCTGACAAAGAGCTTTCTAGAAGCACTGACCACAACCCCATGGAAAAAGAACAGCAGGTATCGCCGCAACCACTCGGGTCGACTTCCATAGGGGTGGACTGGCGGCGAGGGACGGGCGACCCACCCGGTGCGTTGTCCCTGACTGGTTGTTTCTATCCTACATCGATCACTAGCCGATCACAATTGGTAAAAACAAAGCAGCAAAGCCGGGCTCATCCGCTTCTAGTACCCGCTCTCCGCTCCCGACTGACTGGGATGTTACAAACTTAACGAACTGTGTCTGAATTTCTTTCAAAGTTTCTTGGCTAACCCACCTTGAGATCGAATAGCATTCCCAATATCGATAGCCGAATTGTCCGTGTAACTGAGTAGCACTGTACTATCCGAATTGACAAATGCTCTCAAAGAACAGGTCAAGCCAGGTGTTGGTCCGTCTACACGAACGGAAGTCACGTTGGATGGAAGTATGTAGAACTGAAATATAAACTGAAGCCATAGTACACAATTATGAGACGCACACACCCCTGCCCGCCCCCCCCTCATCACTATTTGTTTGACGTGACGCGCGTTGTGCCGCTTATCGACGCTCGGAAATACAGGGGGACCAAAAAACATTTTTTCTCCCTTGATTTTCGAGGAGAAATAAGTTACACTTTATTGAATTCTGGTTGGATTTTTCCACCATCATTCTCAACGATACATTGTATATTATCACAAGAATGCTGAGTTGTGGGCAAAAGTCGGACCACGGACGGGATTCGAACCCGCATCTTCTGCTTACCGGGCAGTTGCGTTCCCTATTACGCTACCGGGCCACTTTTGACCACTCAGCTCAATGGCTATTTGTGCCATTGCCTTCGAGCACTCACACGTTCAACGTGGTGTCAAACAATATTCAGCAACACATTGTACACTATCATGATACTCCGCCACAGCCTTCTGGACGAGCGCCATCGAGAGATTCTGCCACGCGACCGTGATTCGGTGCCTGAGTTCAGCGAGGTCGTTGATTTCTCCGCCACTGTAGACCACCCTGTTGAGCTTCGCAAACCGGACAATCGAGGGGGTTCACAGGTCAGGTTACAGATTTGGACACCCCGTCTTCTTTAGGTAAGCAATGTCCATCAATTCCATGTAGCGAGAGTTTTTCGATTCCATGTGCTAGCACTCAATCCTGTAGCAGTACGAATTTTCCAAGATGGTACAGGCGACGATATGAAGGGAGGATATTCTCCTCGAGTTACTCGATGTAACCGTCAGCGTTCACTTCCAGTCCGGGGTCCACGAAGAAAATATCGGTCTTCCCATTCCAGGTACGTCCGGTCCATACCATCAACCCGCGCCTTGGCGACTGCGGTGAAGATGATGTCCTAGACCGTAGCGACGTTGTCGGAGCTGCTCGACAGCGCTTGATGTTGGAGGTCTTCAGATCAAGAGTACTGACCTCCAGGTAGCTATCCATGGGTGACTCCATACAAGAAGTTTCGCAGCTGTTTGGAGGTGACGTGAATTCCAAGGCCTTCTCCAGTCAGGCTGCGACTGGAGATGACTTCATATTTTGGTGTACATGAAGGTGATGGGCGAGAGCCTGCTCCTGCTTATCGAGGAACATCTTGGTATCTTCCGCCCTGGTACTCGTATCCACGTCTTCTGTCTGTGCTGCGAAAACTTTACTGATATGTGACTCGGCCGAAGTGTCTTTTTTTGCCCCCCCCCTGTATTCAGCAGAGGTGCTCAGTTTATGATGTGGGCCGGACCGCCCACTAAGGTCAGGAAACCTAACACGAAAGTTGTGTGGAGAAAAGTGGTCTTATAATGTGTTCTCCCACCATGAGTTGTCCGCTCTCTATCGCCTAGTATATCTTTATAGTAGGTTCTTACTGGAAATTGGAAAAAAAACGAAGGAAGGTCTTATTATATTTGAGGCAATTTGGATCTTCTATTTTTTTAAGAAGAGCTAATAGCATCTACTATTTTGTATTCCAACCCCAACACTCCCATTCCAGCATAGTGGAATGATCGCTGGGAATCTCATAAAATTCCTCACAGAGAAAAAAGCTTCTTGAAGTTTGTGCAGATTTGAGAAGTTAAATTAGTAGTATCATACTGTGGGGAAAAGCAACTGAAGGGGGCCTCAAGTCCGGAGGTCTACAGACGATAAGCCCGGTGAATGTCGCTACCGCTCAATTAGCTTTTGAGGCAGCATTTCTCCCATTGGAAAACTTTTCGAGATGTTCGAAGAGGTGGTATTCGGTGGTGGCTTTGTCTGATGAATAAGGTGCATGCGTAAGATTTCCGTAGCCCAGTCCGTTCAAGGTGTTATGGGTTGAGTAACGTGGAGAGAGCGTGGTCACGGAGTGGAACGGCCTTGTTCCTGTAGACCAGCTCATAAGCTGAGGTTCACGGGTTTACGCTGCATCTCTTCAATTTCTTGAGAGCGCTTCCAAGCTCAATGATCTTCGCCGGATCCGCAGAACTGCGTCAGACTAGACCAGCTGCAAAGTTGTTCGTTGGCGACACTCGTTTGCGTTTTTTTCACTCTGAGCTACCTCATCGGATCGCTAGGCGAGTACTGTCTCGTTGGGAGTACCCCGGCAAGCACCAAAAGCTGTGGTTTGGTTTCGCAGGTGACTGCGATCGCGCCCTACCCTTTTCCCCACCTCTTGCCCCCCCCATTACACACACACTATTTGTGTCAGCAGAGTAACATCAGCATATCAATACTGTCTGATTTTCAGAATAGCACAAACCGAATAATAAGTTCCCGCTGAAGTCGCTGTGAGGCGTTGACCACTGCTCATGTCAATGAGGTAAGGCTGAGTGAAAGTGGGCGGGTTCCCTGAAAACAATAAATTCATCGTTCTTTTTAAGTAATTCCTTGCAAATTCACAGACCATCGTTCTTATCAACGGTAAGCAGAACTTTTGTCTCTTCCAAAGAAGTGTATGTGGTCGGGATGGTCACTATCATCTGACCACTGCAGTCGAATTTATAACGGACGGCAACGTTCTCCATCTTATGGTAATAGGACAGCACGTTCGTCATCACCTTAACAGAAACGCGATATTCAATTATTAATATCCGAAAAGCACTGTAGCAAGTGAGGGCAATGCATTTAGCTCAAAGGCTCGAAAGACTGGGCGCCGAATCCAATAAGCAAATTACAAGACTGGCATATTCCCGAACAGAGTGAACTGTGCCAATAGTGAATATTTTTGAGCAGACCGATAGGTTACCCCGTACCATTTAGTACCCCAATAGGAAACTCTACACAACTCCAAAGATCCTGGTTCCTGCTATGTGCGAGGCGAATGATTCGCAGCTGCAGTAGAGGGCCGCTTTCTCGGCAGAAAAATGCATGGGAACAGGGCTGTAGGGTAGTGGTACGGAATGGTGCTATCCTCAGTATGCAGCACTTGCGCTGATTTCGGTGCCGCGCAGCAAAACACGTTCTCAGCGCCAGAGAACAACGTGAGAGGGCGCAGACAAGTGGAACGTTTGACTATGGGGAAAGAACGGGGTGACCGTGCGGCAGCGCAGGAGTATAGAGACGCATCAGGGTAACACATTACCACCCCTTTCCACTCCTTTCCCGTGCACTTTTGAGCAGAGAAAGCGGCACGCGTCTGCACCTGCGGACGAATTCTTTCCACACACGCCACAGCAGCGAGCAGGATCTACTGAGGTGAGTGACAGTTTGTCCTTAAAGCTAGAGTCCAGGGTGACCGCATGGGAGGAGATAGACGCACCATTGCGCCTTTCACATTGGTCACCTCTATGGCTGTTAATGGACTGTCGCACCAATGAGTAATGTGCAACGACCACGACACCTCTGTCTCCGCCCATATAGTGAACGTGGAGTGAGCGTGTTAGGAATCAGACTAGGAACTACGCATATGCTCCATGGGGATTCAACAGCACAACACATCCAGTTCTCCCTTATCATAGGCATGCAGGCTTAAAACCCT